AAGGGGGCAAGACATCCCTATATATAATTTTTTTGTAGTTTTAATTTTTGAGTCACATAAGATTATCACATGTTAAATGCTTTAATTTTTAAAATCTTCATAAAATTATTATGAGCCTTAATTCCTCACTGTGTCTTGCCATTAGCTAATTATATCCTAGTACGAGTCAGTAGTATGGGTATAGGTGAGGACTAACTACCAGCTAGGTGACTATGGGCTAGTAAACTCCCCGGGTCTCAGTTTTCTTGATAATCTGAAAGATGAGGACAATGATAGCACCTATATCATGGAATTATATTGAAGATTTTTGAAAGATGGCTTGTATTTTGAATAAATGGGAGAACTTAGTGTGTGTTTTGGAATGCTCACAGTACCTTGCATGAGGAGAAACATCCGTGGATTGACTGACGGTCATGAATACAGCTTTATGGGAAAGTTTGCTCCCTGGATAACCTAAAATAGTCTCCTAGTGACAGGCCTGGATTTTCAATACTAAACTCAGACTCAAGAAAGAAAGAAAGAACATATAATATGCAGGCAAGGGAGGAATGGAGAAAATATGTACTTTAAATGAAGTTCAATTAATAGGCACTCCAGAGAGACCAGAAAATGACAGAGTAGCAATGTTGGGTGAGAGCACTAAAAGTCTTCCCCTAAATTTTTTTAAAGGGGGGTGGTGGGGTGGGGACGTCAGACTGAACAGTTATACCAAGTGCTAATTGGTATAAACTGGGCCGGCCCGGTGGCTTAGCGGTTAAGTGCACGCGCTCCGCTGCTGGCGGCCCGGGTTCGGATCCCGGGCGTGCACCGACGCACCGCTTCTCTGGCCATGCTGAGGCCGTGTCCCACATACAGCAACTAGAAGGATGTGCAGCTATGACATACAACTATCTGCTGGGGCTTTGGGGGAATAAATAAATAAATAAAATCTTTAATTGGTATAAACTGGAGGAAAAGAAAATCCCACCTAGACACTTGCTCCTGAAACTGCAGATCACCAAGGATAAAAAGAAAAATCCTAAAGCCACCAGAGAGAAAAGACAAATTACATATGCAGAAAGAGCAGTTGGTCTTAGAGAAGATTTCTAACCAGCAAAAACTGATGTCAGGAGAGAAGGAAATAACATCCTCAAATAACTGAAGGAATACAGCTGTCAACCGAAAAGTCTATCCCCAGCTAAACTATCACTTATAAATTTCAAAATACAGAGATTTTCAGGTGGACTAAGATAGAGAAAATTTATTACTGATGAAGTTCTCTGTAGCAGGGGTTGGCAAGCTGCAGCCAAATGCCCGAATCTTTCCCCCTGTTTTGACAAATAAAGTTTTATTGGAATACAGCTGCACCTGTTCATATACATATTATCTATGGTTGCTTCCCAGTCACAGCAGCAGAGTGGTTGCAACAGACACCATATGGCCCACAAAGCCAAAAATTATTCCTCTCTGGTCCTTTACAGAAAAAGTTTGCTGAACCCTGCTCTACAGGACTCAATATTTACATGTGTATTTATTCATCCAACATATATTTGATAAACATCTGCTGTGTGTGTGCCAGACCTAACAAGTGTGAGACGAAACATTTCAGGTTCCTGGCCCTGGCATATAAGAGTCTTTGTAAGGACTTTAGTAGATGTCCTCCCCTCTTTTCTGAGAGATGGTGCTAGGGAGTGATGTCTAGAGGTGTAGTCTGGGGGTGTGTCTGAAAACAGCAAAACAGAAACCCATCTCAACACAGACAAGTCAGCCCTCCCTTTGACTCTCATCTGTTTCAGACAAGCAGCTTGTTTGGACCCTGCCCATTTCAGGCATGCCAAGACGGTTCAAAGGTCAAAGAGTTGGCTTCAGTTCCTTGCGTCATGAACGTGGTCATGAATTCCTCATGGTTCTCACTTTCTGTCCACATCTGCTCTCCTCCCCCCGCACCCTGACCCACAGCTGATGCTTCTTGGCCTTCCCTGAGCACAGCACCCCACTGCGTCCTTCTCCAAGTCTCTGCTCAGGCTCTGTCCCTTCCCTGGGGTCCCCTTCCTCCACTGCTTGGCTTCGCTTGGCTTACTCTTATTCATTTCCTCCAAGAAGTCTTCTCCCCATGCACAGTCTGGTTTGATACCCCTCCTCTTCATCTCTTTATATGTTGCATTATAAACATCTATTGAATGCCTTCTACTGCAGGGCAGTGTGCTAGATGCTTATCTTATCTCTGTGTTCAGATGGGTTTTCTCTCCAACTCTTACCCCTTCCTGGGGGTGGTATACATCTGACACCAGGAGAGCCAATGGGGATGTTTGCTACTCAATTCACAGTGGAGGAAGAGGTGAATACCTCTCTTGAGATAAACAAAACAGAAGCTGGTAAGAAAGGGCCGATGTTCCTACAGATGGTGCAAGTGCCCACTGCACACTGTGTTGGAAGTTGGGCCAGTACTGGGAGCCAGATGTGACCCTGGTGGCTCCCGCCAATCATGTAGATAAATAGGAATTGTCTTAAGGTAGCTTCATGATGGAGGTCGGTGCAAACAGCAACGGAAGAGAAAGTAAAGAAGGGGAGGTGACAAGTTCATGTTCGTTGGATATGCTCCCCTCTCCCACGGGATTCATTCTTTCTGACATGAACTCCTAATACCTCTGCCTCTTCCGTTTATCACTCCCCCTCTTGTCATTTACCCAGTACATCGTTCTGGAATGCTGGAAGGATTGATGAGACACACCTGGCAGAAGGGGGGCTGCATTCATTCATTCTGGCCCCTGACAGTTACTAATTCCTACAATTTCCCTGCACTGAATACCACTCAGATCTCAACAATTCTGAGCATTTCTGCCAGCAAAGAAAAAAGAAATCGCATATTCAGTGACTGAAGATCCCAAGTGGATTCATAATGGTCTGAATAACAGGTAGCTTGATTTGCTTAAGCTTTGAAATACTTAAGAATTCATATAAAAGAATTTTGATATTTAGAGAGTACATGTCTTCCGGGGGGGAACTTATCTTGACAATTTCTATAAATCAAATTCTATTCCTTTGAAGAGCATTCTAAATTCAAAGATGTGCTTCCATGAGAAACTTTTAGTAAAATAGGAGCTGGTGACTAGTTCAGGGCAAACTTTGAAGACCTGAAGACTGTATCTTACGCCTTGTATGAGTTTAGGATTAAAAAATGTTTTCTACATACATTTTCTCTTTCAATTTGACCTCTTGATAAAGCTATGAGGTAGGCAGGGCCAGTATTATCATGCCCATGTTATAAACAAGGAAACTGAAGCTCAGTTTAAGGCTGGTTCCCCTCAGTGATTTGGTGGCAAAGCCAGGTCTCCAGATTCAAGCCCTTCTGCTGGGCTTCACAGGCATGCAACCTGAGCAGGTGACAGGGCCCCATGCTCAGAAGGGCCCCGTGCTTGGTTCAATGCTCTGCTATTGCCGTCTTGAAATTCTCAATACCTTGGAACCAGGAGCCCTGCATTTGGTTTTTGCACCTGGCCCTGCAAATCCTGCCTGTAGGCAGTCCTGCTCACAACTCTGTGGACTCCCCTTCTATTCCTCTACCCAGATCCCAGAAACGCCCACCATGTCTGGGACTTGACTGCTCCCAGCTCCTGGAACTCCTTGGCCGTCTTCCTCCTTCCCTCTGGGTCTGCAGCGTCTAAAGGGGCTGCCAGATTCCAGGTCGTTCTTGCCTCCCATGAATACCGGCAGCTCCTCCGTGCTGCTTCACATCCTGCAGAATAAATTAGTACCCAGCTCTATCAGTTCAGCAAAGTCAAAATTCTCTAAAATGAGTTTAATTAAAACAAGAGGCTCTTGGGTTTTCTCAGATTAGATGTGATCAAACCCACTCAGAATATTAGATTTCTCTTTGCTCTTTAGCTGGGTCTCTTTGTCCAATTCCCTGCCCCTGATGGTGTCCAATTCTTGACTCAAAGAAAGAGAGAGAGAGAAAAAAAAAAAAGGAGAGAGGCAGGGAAGAAAATGAAGAAAATCCAAGTCCTTCCTGACACTCCTAACCCCCATAGATGTCTTATAAGTCCTAAAAGCTTATAAACATTGCAATTGATAAAAAAGATAAAATGAACTGTGGTCACTTCTGGCTACCAATTCTCAAGAACCCTGCGCAGCAAAGCAAAATAAAATGGCTATCTGAAAGGCTGATAAGGTCAGGTGCTGTTTGCTGGCTATGACCTTCTCCCCCTGGAGTCCTGGTCCAGCACTTCCAGGGCCAGTGAGGTCAGAGAGAGAGCTCTGCATGACCATGAAGGTGAACGGGATGGTACCAGGGGAAGGAGCCAACTCTCTCCCCGAATACCTTTCTTCCCGACTGCCTTGAACGTTGTATCTTCCTCGGATGGTCCCCAAACCCCACTCCTTCCTTAATATTCAAGCAGCCCCTGGCTCGCCTCGCTCCATAATTGACTTTAGATGAATTCTGCTTCCTCAACTGTGACTCCCTTCCGTCTTCTCCAGAGGTCCATGAAAAGCTGATGCGTAACCATGCATATCACACCAGTGAGAAAACCCACAAATCAGAGCAAACTTTTAGATTTTTTTATTATGCATTTGACAGTTAGTATTTTCTGAGTGTTAGCACAATTAATGAATTTTTTCTCCGAGATATCATGTTGCCACAGAGCCAAACAGCGCACACGCGTTTTAAAAATGTAATTCAAGCTCTAAGGAATGTGAGTTTGGATTCAGAACACAATTTAAAATCTATATGTATACAGTGGCTTTACTTTTACTTTCACAATAAATAATCGCTTCCCTAAACTGTACACAATCCTGCTAGCAAATCGGCCCCTTCCATTTCCCTGTGACAGATATGCATTTGTATACCTGTAATAACTTATGAAAGACTCAGAGAGAATTTAACATTTGGTCAAGGCGAGTGCTCTATCATTCGCCATCTTCAATGTCTCCACATCGCCACCTCGGCACACACTCTCTGTGCCGGGGGAGGCGGGCGTCCTCTCCCCTGTTCCAGACACTCATAGTCATCTCAGCCTGGCTATAAGAGCGCAGCTGAAGGAGATTGTGAACTACCAGGCATTACAGTTCACAGTTGTTGCCAATTATACAGATAAATAGGAATTTACATAATTTACAAAGAGTTTGTGTTCGTGGCTTATTTTGAAGCCATTCCCCAAAGATCCATATTTACTCATGAAAGCAAGTATTCACTCTAACAGCCTTGAGCTGGGGCGCCTGTACCAGACTTCCTGGGAACAAGGCCTATTATGCATTAGCCTGACTGTCTGCAAAAGGCGCAGAAAGTCAGTCAACTGAGCGAGAGCAAGCTCTCTGCTTTGTCCCAGGGCTCAAAACCCACGGATATTAACTGTCTTCTTTTCTTGTCACAAATATCAAGGTTTCTTTTTTCCTTTTCGAGATACTTTCTTTTGGTGGGTACCAAGCACAGCTGAAAATTTCTATCTAAATCCTATAAGCTTCAAACTCATCAACTCCTGTGCAGCCACCATCCGCACCGCAAGCCGACGCCCAGCGGCCCCTCTGGCTCACCCGGTGTGCCGGCTCTCTGTGGGGACACGAATGTCCACATGCTCCCGCTGTGTGCTGCATCTATTACAAGATGGGCACGTTTTTACATTTGCAAAGAGTTAGCTTGGCGTCCACTTATTCTCCAGGAGAAGTCAAGTCGAGAGCCAGCGAGTGGCTTCCCAACAAGCCATACTTCTCCAAAAACAATTTCCTGCATGAAACTGGAGTCGGAGGTGTCAGGCCCCAGGGCACATCTGGGATCATTTTACCCATTAGAGAAACGGGGGTGGTTTGGATTGGGGCATTCTTGGGGTCGGGGTGTAGTGTCAAGTGAGAACCTTTTGAGTGGGTTTTCTCCCCCAGGCAAAACTCACTCCTTGTCCTCCAAGGGGTGGAAATGTGAAGCATGTAGCAGCAGTAACTGAGGCCTTTCTAACACAGGAGGCTGCAGGCCCGTCCTCTCAAGGGGCTTCTGAAAGAGTGAGGAGAGCGGGCAGGCGAGGGCTGGGAGGTCCACTGCCGGGGGCAAGCACTGGGTGGTCTAGAGCCTACTGGCTTTGTCTGTCCTTGACTTCAACCTATCTTGGAGAAAGGGGGCAAAAGAAAAAAAGAGGTATGTTACAAACGAAGAGCTCTTTACTGGCTGAAAAGGGGCCTTCTCCCCGCCCCATCCCTAGCTCCTGCCCTGTTTTGAACTAAACCTCCTCGCCAGTGCTTCTCGGCAATTTCAGGGCCTGCCATCCACCTGGAAAGGTGTGAATATAATAACAGCAGATGTGGCTGGTGGGAGCTCTCTGCAGCCTGGTCCCATCTTTCATTATCACAAGCTCAGGACAGCAGCATCCGGACCTCTCTGAGAATGTGAATCCAATCCAGGTATTACTAACTGGAGTCTTGCAAGAAAGTAGGGACCGTGACTTATAAGAAAAGACTTTTTCTTCCCATGTAAAGCTTCTTACAAGGGCTTTCCACGAATCATAAAGACCTGGAAGAACCACCTTTCCGGGCCTCAGTGGGACACCTGTGCTTCTAGTCTCATCTTCTGAACATTTGACGGAGCAATAACAACCACAACAGCAAAAGCCACGTCATGCTTTCTCTGTGCAGGGCTCACTTGCCTTCCCTAAACATGCCCAGCACATTCCCACCTCAGGGCCTTTGCACTTTCTTTTCCCCTGCCTGAAGTCCCCTTCCCTCCCTCAACTCCCTGGCTCACCCCTCACTTCCTTCAGGTCTTTATGCCAATGTCACCTGTCAGTGAGACCACCCCTGTCTACCCAATCCCAAATTGCAACCACCTCCAACACACTCCATCCTCATCCTGCTCTCCCGTCCTTCACACGTCTCCCTCTGTATTTTACATATTGGTCTGCTGTCGGCTCCCCCAGTTTAAGCGCCATGAAGGCAGATCCTTTGCCTGGTTCCCTGAGGTATCCCCAACATCTAGAACAGTGTCTGGCACGTCATAGATGCTCAACAAATCTTTGCTGAAGGAATGTGTGAGTGAATGAATAAACGATGCAGTGGATGGATGGCCTGAATCCCATCCCTCCCTCACTGAGAGGAATTTGGGTTTGGGCAGGGAAGAGAGAAAGAGGAAAAGAATTAAGAGGCAATGTGGGGACCGGCTGGGCCTGACTGCTGCTCTCCTGGGGTCTCTGTGCCTCGCCCTCCTCCTCTTTCTCCATTGTCATTAGGGAGGCTGATGGGTCCCTCTCTGGACAACTAGAAGTGATCTGCCACCAATTTGGAAAGCCTCCTGTATACCGAGCATGGTCTAAGCTTCCCTTCATTGGTCCCTGTAGGAACCCAAGCCCCCCCAGGCTATTATTATGAACATAAATTACCATCCCATCACCGATGTGCGGGCAAGTCATTAATAACAAGTTCTGATTGATAGACTGACAAATAAACCCAGTCTGGCTGCGGGAAACCCTCAGGATCTCTCATACAAAAAAGACAAGCAGGTTAAAAAAAATAATAAAACGAATTGGGGGACATGGGGGGCCTGCTGCCAAGCTGCTGTGATTCACCTCTGTCCAGAATTGCTGCTGAAAAGAAGAAAGGATTTTTTTTTTTTTTTTAAAGACCACATGTTGCTTTGGGAGCAGAGGCAAAACATGGGCGCGGGTAGATGAGCCTGCAGGGCTTCTGAGAAGCAGCAGTCAGCTAGCTTTGTCGAGGCCCGGTGGAATCCAGGCCTGGACATCACCGCTCTAAAGCTACGAGGGGTCAGCTCCTAAGACACAGGGCGGGCTGGCCAGGGGCAGGGCAATGGCAGTGGCTCTCCACACTTCAGCCTGCTTCGTCCCAGAGAGGATCTACCGGAGGCACCGTTGCCTGAGGATGCAGCACCCCACGCACTGGCCGCCCTCTCAGACCAGAGGCCGCCCACACATCCTCCAAGCCTCCGAAGGTGTGAGGCCTCAGAAAGCAGCTTCACCTCCTCGGACGCAGGTCTCCGTCGGCCCCGCTGGCCTGCACTTCTTCTTTGTCAGGTTTTTCTGCTGCCGTTGAATTCCTGCGGGGAGAGAGCTGGTTTGAATGATCAAGGTGCATTTCCATGTGGCTGATGTTTCAGTGTCAAATTATGACTTCCTCTTCCCCACCAACGAACACATTAGTGAATTCCCCAAGGACCAAGTCTCACGCACGGTTTCTGAAGGCTGAGCACATGGTGGGTGGATTTCTACCAAAAGTGCAGCATTGACTCACTCCCCGGTTATTCATCGGATGTTAAGGAGCCAAGAAGAAAAATGCAGATGGCACTGGGGTTTCAAGACAGCAGATCCGGGGTCCCTGACGACTCCAGCCCCTGCAGTGTTGAGAGCCCACCCTCTGTCTGCGTGTCTTCTGTATGTACGGGGGAGCACCTGAAGGCCCCATCCCACCAACACCAGCTCTTGGAAGGGGTTTTAAAGGGCAGCTCTGCCCAGCTGGGTTGATGAGTCTTGGCCCAAAGTAAAAAAAAAAAGAGGATGGAGGAGCATTAAAGGAATACCTGTTAAGTGAAAACCAACTTAAACCCAAGGTCTGCTCATTTATTCAAGTCCACACTGATTCACAGGCTTCTCTCCAGCTAGAGTAGACTACAGGGTCTCAAACTCAGGGGCCTCCAGGCAGTCAGACTCTCCGGCCTTGCCTTGCCCAGGGGCACCTGATATCCAGAAATGAGTGAAACTAGAGAGGGGTGTCGTACCTGCCGACAGCTAGGGTTTGGGTACAGAAGCGCGCACAGGCCCTGTCGTCGCTCTCCACACAAGCGCAGCGTACCGTCCACTTCGAAGGCTGTGGGCTCTGCAGGAACGGCCCAGCGGACCTCCTGCTCCTGTAGTTGGACAGTCCATAGGGCACAGTCTGTCTGCAAAGGGCAGAGCAAGGTCAGGGCCACATCTAGAGGAGCATGCCCCCGCCTCCGGGCTCCCTGGGCACCTGCGGGGGTGGAGCTGGCGAGGGTCTGGGAGAGTGGACACGGGAATGAGTGACGCAGGTGCAGCAGGTCCCAGGAACCGGTGTTCACACCCTCACCCTGAGCTTTGGGTCTTAGGAAGCCTCTGGAAGGAATCGTTCACCTCCGTTTCCCCGCACTCTCAGAAAGTGCCCTGGGGCCAAGGGGATGGAAAGATGGGGAGGACCTGGGGGAAATGGACAGGAAATTCTGTGTTCTCCCAGCAGCCAGCCCCCTCGGGGAGGGAACCAAGCAGACGCCTGGTGTGTGCACATGTGGACTTCCCGTCTTTTCAAGACCCAACCCCGGCAAGCACGCCTCCGGTGCTGGCTTCCTCCAGGGCAGTTCTGGCTTTTCTCCCTGTACTCAAACCCCTTACTCTGACATTCTGGTTGACCCATATACTGGTCCCAGTCTTCGTCCTTGAGCCAACGCCTGGGCCTGGTCATCAATACCAATAAGAGACCTTCCTAACTCTGCAGCCCAAGGCCGGCCGTGGCCCCGCCTCGCCTGGCACCAAATTTCTTCTGTGCGCACATCAGCCTTGCAGTCCGCGCTAATGAGATTACAACAAACGCAATTACGGCCATTAGAGATGCATCCTGGCCTTGGAACATCGCTTCCTCAAAGAGACAAACATCAGAGGAAGCTTTGGTGGCCTGTGAGATACAGGCGAGGACAGAACTAGCCTTGGGAAAAGTCTTATTAACAAAGAAAAACAGCCTGAAACTTCACCCATTTGGTTTATGGCTGGAGCCGGGAAGAGAGTGATGGTGTCGTCCGGAGCAATAAACATTTAAATCTGTTTCTGATGCCCATGTGTGTGCAAACCATCACCCTCCAGAGAAGAGAGAGACTGCCAGGCAGTTCGCTGGGAAACAGTTAAAAGCATATGCTTAGTACTACTGAATAGGCTTTGGGGGACAAATTACTAATAACGAGAGAAAACTTATGTGGCCAGAAGTTACCTTTCCAATAAGTCTTGGCTTTCCTGCCAGTCCTCAAGATTAACCACCTTGGTTTCGGTAAGCCCCAGAGAGTATCACCTATCGTCGCCTCAGAGTGGGTTCTGACATCCTCTCTGCGTTTTCAAAACAAATCAAATTGAATTTACTTTAATTTGAAACACACGCCATGGAGGCTTTTTGGGGTGGTGAGTGCAGCAGGGGGTGCCCCATCGTGACCTTGGTATGGACTTCTTCCTTGCCTGGTTGGAGGCCAGAGCTCAGGAGTCTAACCACCCCTCTCCTCTCTGTCTTGCTCTCTTCTCCCCGCTCCTTCCTGCTCCAGGTGGCTGAGAAAGAGCGCTGTGGCGGGTTCCCTCCAGATCAAGGCAGGCCCAGTGCTGAGAGAAAGCAAGCAAGGTCCAGTCCTATTCTGAGCTGCACCTTTGCTAAAACCCCCTTTTTCCTCAGGAATGGGAAATGGGGGAGGGGGAGTGGCAAAACAATGCAGACATTGTTGTGAGGCCAGATATGGCTAAAGGTATATTTTTCCAGTAATAGGGCCACATTAAATCTCTAAGTGTTGACATTAAACCCAGTCCCCCATTTCTTGGTGAAAATTACACACAAGGAATAACAACACTCCCATTTTTCCATCAACAGCAAGACCTGCAATTTTGAAATTGCTGTCAGCTGATTATGCATTTGTGTGCGCAGAGCTGCTCAACTTCAGCGAAAACACTCGAAAGTGTTTTAAGTAAGGAAACCAGGCAGTTGGTATTTGTTAATAGAGCAATGCTAAGTGCTTTCCCAGCAGCTAAGTGCAAAGAGCCAGTATGCAAAGGAGGCCTTGCAATTTTCAAAGAATGTTTACAGAGCGGCACAGCCCCTTCCCCTCCCACAGCAGTGCTGCGGCGCGGAAACTCTGGAGGTGTCCCGCTATATGTGCGCTCTGCTGGCTGACCTGGGGAGTGGGGGGTTGAGAGAAGCCGAGGAATTAGAGGACTTAAGAGAGGGTACAGACCACAGGAGGGCCCGCTCCACAAGAGTGCCAGTTCCAATGGAGGCCCACCTCCCATAGACAGAAAATTTAAAGGTTTTAAATCAATCTGATAAGCTCTTAAATAAGAGAGTTCTATCCTCCTACCGGAACAAATATGGCTTCAAAACACCTTGGAAGTTCCAGCTTGAATTTAGAATTCTGGGGTTCTTGGGGTTCTGTGTTGGCACATGGCAGCCCAAGGAGACTCAGCACCTTCTCTCCTATTCTGCTTCATCCCACACCAAGGGGGCCCTCTTCCACTGCCATGTGGAGGCACTCCCAAGCTCCATCTGGCCCCCATCCTCCAAGGAGCCACCCTTGGCCACCCTGCAGGCTGTGGGAGACGTGCCTGGAGCCCTGTTCTGTCCCTGGATGTCAGACCCTGGAAGATACGTGCACAGGCCCTGGAAGTGGGCTTGGGGACATTTGGATAAGAGATTCAGGATCCTGAATACCTGGAGCACAGTCTAGAAGAAGCGGTATATAGCTTCCAGTCCCACAGACTCCCTGCAATGGGGTGCGAGACATGGCCGGAGGAGGGTCAGAGGCAGCCCTCTAACCCACGGGGCCCAGGGCAGGGTCCTTCTTGTTCAGATCTAAGAGTGGATCCCTAGCTCCTCACGAGTAGAAGGCAGGTCTTCTACTTTTTTAATACCTGCCATGAACCCAGCACAAGGCAGAGCAAATGAAGACTGTTAACTGAGCAACTGGTAGTTAATTGTGAGTTAATCTAGTCTGGCAAGACTGGATTCTTTCCAACCTAAAAAGTTCAGTACCATAAAATTCATTACAAAGAACTCCAACATTTTCCAAGCATCCACTGTATATACACCTAGTATTATTCTAAGTGTGATTGGGAAGAAATGCATTGCAGAAAGGCATATGCATGTTTGTGCCTCCAGGAGTTCACATGCTGGGGTATAAAAATGGCTACAGGAAAGATTACAAACCAATATATACTGGTATGTGCAAGGTACACAGAACACAGAGAAGATTACCAGGTAATGCCATTATGATGTTGTAAAGCACTTACATGATGATGACTCCACCCTCTTGACAGTTTCCTGATCTACAAAATGTTGTCGGATGGATTGAATGACACACTGCACTGCATGAAAAGTACTTAGCAAAGAGCTAGCAGCAAATTAATGTTAGCTACTGTTGTTGCTTATTTGGTTTGAGAATTCAAGAGAGTTGTATCAGACAGAAAAATCCCATCTACCAGGTCTGCATTTGAGATGTGTGACTAAGTAATAAAGACGGGTAACCAGAGTGCCACACGGCACAGCAATGCCATTCTCTGCCACACCTCATTTTGGCCAATCCGTCGTTCAACACTGCCTGTATAACAAGCACTTGTATTTCAGTTGTGTTGATGCTCTTTGTCATTTGCTGTTTCTTGAATGGTGAATTGGAAGGATCTAATGGTGGAACCATGAAAATGAAGTTCAGTTGGCTCAGAACCTTTGACCAGCCCTCTCTGACCAATTGCTTTAACCTACTGTTCTACAGTAGGGTTTGGAGAACGCGATTCTTCATAAAAGTAGGCAGTTCTTCCATCTGTTAATGTTTCAGTTATAACACAGGCTTCCATACAAAAGAGAAGCAGATGAGAAGATCAATTCAACTGCTCTCAGACAAAACAGAACACTCCTCCCGCATACCTACGTATGCAATGTCTAGTGTCGTGTGTCTTTGTGTAATAAATTGTCCCTCAAACGTATGTACTCAGAACATTCATTATGTGTTACACCAAACAGTGATGAGTGATGGTGATGTCAGAATCTTGTTTATCACAGTGTTCCTTATTTACCACTTTTTCCCAAATGTCACATATAAATGTTATTAAATATTAAACTTCCAAATCTCCCGTATTCATTCTTCATCTGCAGCTTCACACTGAAAGCACTTGATTTCTCTGTACAAGAAGTTTTTAAGTAAGGAAAGCTGACTTCTTTTTTTAAGATTCTGTTTTTAATTTCAGGATTGCCTTTTCATAAATGAATTAACCACCTCCGTCTTTCTGATCAGGACACTGGTTTCTACACCTGAAGTTTAAAGGAGGGATACAGATATTCACAAAGGCCCACCAAAAGCAGCCAAAGGAGCTTCCCTGGCCAAATTCTAAATTCTCAGGAAAGTTTATCAAACTGATTTTCCCTCAGACTCCCAGTTTTCATTTTCCCCCATTGAATAGCATTCAACAAATACTTGCTGAGTGTTTCTCAATGTGCCGGCACTGGGCTAGACTCTGGGGGGACATCCATGAACAAAGACAAGTGGCCCTCTACACACAAAGTTTTAACCTGGTACAGAGGTCAGAAAGTTGGCATTTTGTGGCTTCAATCAATAGAGGGTTTTTTTAAATCTGAAATTTTCACATAAACATCCCATTACCAGCTTCTCTCAAATAACTGGAAGTTATACTAATACCAACCCCACAATCCAACATGGCACAATTGCCTGGAGCTGAGTAATAAAGTCAGAGACTGGGCATAAGCACTTCATTTTGCCCTAGTCCCCACCACTCCCAAGAGTTTTACACCTGTCCTTCTTTGCTCACTTTTGTTACCTGGGCCCTCACGGACATTTGAGTTTACAGCCCCTGGTCTAGTGGCTTGTCACATAAAGCAAGGCCAGACAGATCATATGACACAGTGACAAAATTAGTACTGGATACTATTTTTATAAATATAGTTGTTTTCAATTTTAAAAAGCCCAAGTTCTGACTATCTCCCCAACAAATAGAACATTTTCACTTCACAATCAGAATGTCAAGTGGATGAGCCACCTCCCTCAGTTCGCATTTTTACTTTCAAAATGGGAAAGCAAAGGCAATACTGCCTTTGGGCCCAGGGGACATACTGTACAGAAGGCATGACTTTCCTGACCTGTCCTGCGGCCGAGAGGAGGAGAAACAACTGTTT